ATATGTTTATTATTGAAAATAGGAAGGTGAAAATGGGTAAGACAGTAAGAACTATAGATGATGTTTATCAACCATTGATAGGTTTTTAAATTAAAAGTTCAAAAGGGCTTTAATAAGGGGGAAAAAAGATAACCTGGACATAAGCCAAAGAACAAGAGAGAATTATACCAGACTTACAGTTACAGCAAATGAAACAGTACCTCAATATCATACTCCTATAACAGCCCCTACCACCACCACCAAAGGAAGTTGAACAAATGAAAAGTTGTTTGGTCTGGTATGAAATTACCAGCCTTTTAGCTACAGAAACAATAAAAGCATCATTCTCTATCCCTGGTTACAGTTCCATACTCTCGGGCAAGTGGGAAATTTCAGGGACTTCAATGTTCACAAAAGACCCCTTTAACCCCTACCAGTGTGAAGATGAAAGGCCGTGAATCCGACAGCGGCTGTGTTTCTATGCTGAGAGTCCTTCTGTCATGTGAACCCCAACAGCCACAGTCCTGATCCACCTAGTGGGTTAGTGGGTGCCGCTTGCAGTGTTCACGGCAGGAGAAGGGGAGACCCGGTTCTCCTGAGAGTTCCCTCTAAGAAAACCAAGCCCAGGGGAGAGGAGACAGGGTGTCAAGCTGGCTTCAAGCAGGAAGGGAGGGTGGGGGTAGCCTGTTTGGATTCGGCTCTGGGAGCGAGAGGGTAAGCAGAGATGGACGGCATCTCTGGAGTAAGGCAAGCAAACATGCCAGCAGGGCTCTGGATGCCGAGGCCCTGGTCCCGCGGCTCTGGGCGCCGTCACCCGGAGGGGCTCCCGTTGCCTGGCACTTGGGAAGCCGCCAGCGCCGGCACAAGGTGCAGCCTGAGTCCAGCCTCGGGGCCTCCGGGGGCCGCTGAGAGTTTTCTATAACCTGGGGGTGGGGAAGATGGCACATCTCCAACATGTCTGATGAGGATTCTGAGACAAAGGAGACAAAGCACTTAGCAGCGTATCCAAGACACACACCGAGTTCTCAGGCCGTGTCAGCCCCGGGGCTTCCAGCTAGCACCCCGCCCAGCAAGCACTGCGCCCGAGGGCCCGGAGCTCAGCGCCCTGCATGGCTCTTCTGCTGGAAAGGAACCCGGGACGTGATGGCAGAGGTGAACACGGCAGTCCTGACAGGAGCATGTCCTCTGTAAGCGTGCCCACGGCAGGCTGGTTTACACGCCAGCCCCACAGGGCTGCCTGGTGAACATCCAACCTCCTTGGTCTGAGGTTCCTGACCAGGTGGTGCCCCTTGAGGGGGTGCCCCCCGAACCCCCTCGGAGGCAGCATCTACACTTCCCGCGGGCAGCCACCCGCCTGGCACACAACGGGTCCAGGTCAGGGCTTCTCTCTGCAAAGCCAGTATCGCCCATGTTTAAGCAATCATTTTGAGGGATCATTCCGTGACACCCAAAGAGAGAAAGAGTAAGGCCAAGGTTGTATTCTCGGGTCAGAATAAAGCCTGCTCATTAAATGTGTTATGGATTTAACAAGGAGTCAGACAGCAAATACAACCTTCACTCTTGCAGGAAGCCTCGCCCACACCCAGTGGCATGGGTGCCCCTTCTCTCCGCATGGCCGTAGCATGTGGCCCGCCCTACGGTCAGATGACAGCTCTGAATTCCTATGGGACACACCAGCCTCTCTACCGGGCAGTGAGCATCCTGGAAGCACCAGCCACATTTCATCCTCCTTGTGCCTGAGGCACTTCAGGCACCAATAAGTGAATGAATCAACACCACATGGAAAAAAGGCTACTGACATCACAAGTGTTTTTTACTCCCCTGGGTTTCCTCAGAGTCCCTTCTCCTATGTTATCAAAGAACAAGTAACACAACACCCTCACAGGGTGGGAAGCTGCTGTCTAATCTGTGAGCAGAGGAGCCACTGGGAAAATGGCACTGAAATGAGAACGCTCGGGGTCCTTCCATGGACATGAACACTGAGCCAAGATCCTGTAACCGAAAGCCGAGCTGGCTGAGGTAAATAGAACAAAAGCCACTATGAACCAGGGACATTCACTACCGTGACCTGCTAGAGCTCAGAGACCTGGCAGAGGGCAGAGCCCTGTCCACGCTGATTCACTCCTGGCAGCACCAGAGACCTGACTATGCCCGCACTGTGCCCACAGCTGGTTTGTGGGGTTAGACAGGAGGACCAGCCTGAGGAGGCAGAGGCCAAGCTGCCAGGCTGCTGTGTCTCTTCATGAGCCCCCCGCCCCCATCCCCATGGCCCATGGGGCTCTGCTCCCTCAGTACTGTGTCTCCCTAAACCAGGCTGAAGGGCATGGCCCAGCAGCAGGAGAGAAAAGCCACTGGGTGAGGTCATCAGAGAAGCCCTTTTTGGCAACTGTTACCCCGGATGGAAACTTTCTTGGGTGTTTGTTCCCTTACGGACTTTTCCACTCTGGAACCACTTTGGAACACGTACTTTGCTTGAGTACCCGGAATGCAAAGAATGGGCAACAGCCTTGGCCCTGGAACCACGCCCTTTCCGCCCCAACTGCTTCTATATCCGCTCCCTGCAGTCTCCCCTAACAGTGTCAGGAAGGCCCTTCCAACCCCTGTCCACCCTTCATTGATAGCTGCACGAGTTACCTGGATAATATGTGCCATCTTTGTCCCACTATACAGGCTCATGTCATATCAAGGAGTCACCCTTAACGTTACTCTTTGAGAAAGGTGACCAAATACTTTAGTGTTTAAATGGAGACAGTTGTGAGAGTGAATGGGTTGCTATTAATAATAGTTCTAGAATAATAGATGTATCCAAGTCTGTCTGTCCCAGGCAAACCAATAGAGATGGCCATTTACGCTTAGAGACCCTTATGGAAACCTTAAATGCCAGGTGAATCTTGAAAACTCCTGTTCTGGTTGACAGGAACACATTGTCTTATATGGAAAGGGCTGTGTGAGAGGTCAGCCTACAACCATCTCATAAGGAATGTGCTTTTGTCTGAGATATGGACCACAAAGGCTAAATTACCTCTGCTCCCACCCCATGCACATGGAGATGCAGAGCGTACCACTTACCCTAATGGCAAAAACCACAGCAATAAAGGACAACATCTGCACTATTGGTGGGAGTGTACTTTGGTGCAGCCAATATGGAACAGTATAAAGGTTCCTCAAAATATTAAAAATAAAACTACCAAACAAAAATTTAAAAAAAGAGAACTATCATAAGAATCAGCAATTCTACCTTTGCATATTTATCCAAAGGAAACAAAAACTCTAACTGAAAAGGTATCTGCATCCCCATGTTAGTCACAGCATAACCTATAACACTGAAGACATGGAACAACTAAATGATAAATGAATGTATACAGAATATTCAGCCATAAAAATAAAAAGAAGGAAATCCTGCCATTTGTGACATGGATAGAACTTGAGGATTTTTTTTTTTTTACATCCTCACCTGAGGACATGCTTAGACAGAGGAAGGGCAGGAGACAGAAAACTGATGTGAGAGAGAAAACATCGATCGATTGTCTTCCATATGTGCCCCGACCAGGAACTGAGCCCACAACCCAGGTATGTGCCCTGACTGGGAATCGAACTGGCAACCCTTCTGTGCATGGGATGAGGTTCCAACCAACGGAGCCACTCCAGCTGGGAAGACCTTGAAGATATTGTGCTAAGTGAAAGAAGTCAGACAAGACAAATACTGTATAACCTCATTTATATTTGTATTCTTAACAAATAAACGAAAATGCACTCACAGAAACAAAACAGAAGCAAGGGGTGGGAAGTGGGTAAAGAGAATCAAAAGGTACAAATTTCCAATTATAAAATAAGTCATAGGGTTGTACAGCATGGTGACAACAGTTAATAACACTCTATTGTATATTTGAAAGTTTTTAAGAGTAGACTTAAAAGTTCTCACACATAAAAAAATATGTAACTGTGTGGTGATAGATTTTAACGACTTATTGTGGTGATTGTACTATACATATATCTGTACACCTGAAACTAGTATAATGTTACATGCCAATATACTCAAATCTCTCTCTTTCTCTCGCTCTCCATATATATATATATATATATATATATACAATGTACCCGTGTTCCCTATGAGCCAGACCCTGACCTAGGTCACTCCTCCCACCAAATCCATGGGTAGGTACAACTGACATCCCATGGTTAACTGATGAGGAAATGGAGCCCTACAGAAGTTACAACACATCTAACAAAAGGTGGAGCTAGGTTTGACACCAAGGCAATCTCCTCTAGAGCCCATCTCGTTGAGACCACCAGCATCTCCCAGAAGACAGCACTAGGAGGGGACAGTTAAGCTGGACCAAAATGAATGGGTAGTAACGACAATGATAATGACCCCAGCTACCCATTAATGAGACTTTAGGGTACACAACCCTGCCAAAGCTTCCACATATATGACTTCATTTCACTCTCACAGCTCCCTAAGAAGCCAGTATTATTATTTAACCCATTTACAGATGGGGAAAGTGAGGATTCTAGAGGTTAGATCACTTGCCCAGAGTGCACAGCCAGCATGTGGAAGACACAGGATTTGAATTTAAGGCCAACTCCAGAGTGATTTCCACTGGGTTGGAAGGCATTCTGTGCAAGAACTTGGACAAAAGCAAGAAGACACCGATTTGGCCACACACTGGAAAACAGCACCACGGGGCACAGCGTGTCAAAGACAGACCATGACTACGTCCTTCACAACTGGCCCTGTGATTTTCTCCTGAATCTGCCAAAAAGGGACGAGTAGTAAGGCATTCTAAGAAGAGGAAAGCCATCAAGGGATCTAGATTTTCTCATGCTTACGATACTCAGGTGGAGGTTATTTATAAAGAAAACACATATATTTTATGTGAAGTTGTTTCTCAGCGATACATCTCCCATCTGAGGACTGGGAACAGTTTGATTGCTGCATATCAAATACTTCCAGCACTGTCATTTCCCCTCTATTATCCACATCCCATCTGCTTCCTCTTCCCACACTGAAGTGACTGGCATATTCGCTCAAACAAAAGCCTGCAGACAAAAATAAAAATAAAAATCTAATAATTGGCCCAATTTCATTTGAGAAAAATAACTCACAAGCTTGTTCCATGTTGAATAAAAGAAACAAAAACATGTAATTGATGAAGCTTGTTTACTCATCTGATTTTGATCCTAAAATAGATCACGCAATATGTATTTTAAACCTTCTCAATTCATTCCCTGACTTTTCTGTAGGTAACCTAGAAAAGTCAAGTGGAGCCTCAGTACTATTTATGCACATCTATTAAACAACGCCAACTTCTGCAACCACCACCTTGGGTAAGAGCGTAGCATCTTAAAAGCAAAATTCCTTAGGTAATGTTTATTCCGTTGCAATATAAAGAAAGCACACTTTTCATTTTCTTTAAAAATTATGGAACTTTTGATTTCATACACTGCGGTCTGCCTAGAAAATACCACCAACAGTATATGAGCAATATATTCATTATCAAATCATCTGACGAGCTGTAAACTAAATATAGTTTAACACTCAGGTGTTACTGCAAAAGCACTGAGCATTTTAAGTTTTTATCTGCTGTTTCTAATAGCTATTATTATATTCCTTTTATGATGCTTGAAACATATGCTCAGTTCAGACCAAAAGAGAAGGTAAATTGATGAGTGCCTTGTTTGAATAAATTATGTGCCCTGCTTGTCTTTTATATCTGAATCATTTCTTCAAGTGTGTATTATTATCCTCAATTTCAGAGTCAGGTAAATTATAGCTTAAGTAATCAAAGTACAGCTGCCATGAGAGCTGTGCTGACTGTATATATATAGCCGATGCTCATTCTAAGCCAAGAAACAGCAAATCCCCCTGAATCTAAACGCTAGAGCAGGGGTGGGCAAACTTTTTGACTCGAGGGCCACAATGGGTTCTTAAACTAGACCGGAGGGCCAGAATAAATGCATGGATGGAGTGTTTGTGTGAACTAATATAAATTCAAAGTAAACATCATTACATAAAAGGGTACGGTCTTTTTTTTTTTTAGTTTTATTCATTTCAAACGGGCCGGATCCGGCCCGCGGGCCGTAGTTTGCCCACGGCTGCACTAGAGCCTGCTGCAGGATCACCACCCACTTCCCTGTACCGAGTGCACACCGAGGAGATGGTCCCTGTCTCTCTTCAATTCATTGCGATCATCTGATAACTTCAGCCAACAAATGCGAGTGAACTGATGTGATATGGTCCCTGCAAAATTTCCACATGCAATTCCATGCCCTTCCCCTTGCAAGTGGCTGGAGTGGACACAATGCCAGGTCATCTGTGGGGGCCACGTGTTGAAGAGGCCGGTGGCATGAAGAAAGGAGCCTGGGTCTGTGAGTCACCACCTAGAGGCAGACCAAGAACACCACCCTGGGCTTTTATGTGACTAAGAAATAACTCTTTATTGTAGAACAACTGCGATTTGTCAGTTTATGGGTTGCAGAAGCTAGCATTATACTAAAACAGAAAAAAATCAAAACAAGTATAATAGGAAATAACAAAGTAAAGATTTTTTAAAAATTAAAATAATAATTTTGAAAAAATATTTAGTATTTAGGTAATGCTCATGTTATAACGTGGAATTTTAAAAGTAAGATATAGAACTGTATGAGTAGTATTTTCCCAAGTATAAAAACAGATATCCCCTTGCAATTATTTTATGTAAATATGTACCCAGAAATTAATGTTGTTGACTGAACGAATTAATGCATAAAAAGTGGAAGAAAACATGTTCACTTTAAGTCAAGTTCTCTCTGCATATTGGGACAGGAGGAGGTTTTTACTACTGTGTATTTTCTGAAATCAAAATAATGAGTATCGTCCTTTCATAATCAGAAGAGGTTTGTCTGTTTATGTTTAAGATTTCTTTTAAAAGGCCAATATATCCAGACAGCCATAACACAGCACTAGCTCTTATGCCCCCGACCCCAGGCACGGTTTTGCTCCATTTACTACCCCACATGGCAGCCTCTCAGGCACTCAGAACCACCCAATGTACAGGGTGAGTCCAAGGCCAAGGGGCAAATAATTCCCAGGAAAGTCCTGGAAGATGACCCTTCTCTGTTCATTCACAATGAGGCAGCTTTAAAAAGCAAGTCAACAAATAACTCCCTTAAGGATCTACTGAAAACACAGAAATTACCCAGTTTCCGCGGATACACAATCCTGGGCAGGCAGGGACGGTGAGATTCAGAACCAGTTCCTAAAGTAGGCGCCCCTTTTGTGTAAGTGGGGCCCATCTGAGATCACACTCGCAAAATGCTCAGCACAATACGACCTTTATTGGTTCGAGTGTGGAAAGATGGGTCGGTCCTTGCTCTATGTGAGGGCCCACACTCACGCTGAGGCCTGGCTTTCGGAGCACTGCTGTTCGTTTCTAAGGAGAGTGAGTGCCAGGAAGCAGGTGTGAAGCTGCCCGCCCAAGCCCGGGATCTCGCCCTTCCCTGTGTAGGTGTCCGATGCTTCCCGTCAGGGAACACCAGACGTCCCAGCACAGAAAAATCTAAGGAGGTGACCAGAGAAACTCATTGATATCCGCAGACTCAGGAGAAGAGAAAAGAACATTTTATAAAAAGGGGATCTCTTTGCAAAAATGTATACAAGAGGAAATGGGAACATCTTGATGTACACAGTTAGGGAATGCCTTGAATGTCAATTCAGGCGTTCCTTTAGGGAGGACTAAGTAAACATTAGTAAGTGAATATTTTAGGAATAACAATAGTATTTACTGAGCATATACTATATCTCAGGACCTAAACAAGCATGAAGTAAATTACAAAAAAGATATGAGGAGGCTCAGATAATCACCAAGGAGGTGGGAGATGAGGCTCAAAGATGGGACGGGACACAGGGGCAGAAGCAGCCAGGAACAGGCAACCCGCCACGGGAGCCAGGAGGACAGCCCCATCGCCCTCACTTCTGGGAAGCAGGCAGCGCGCCACCTCGATGGCCAGCGTTTGCCTTACCCTTGCTTCTTTGCATCCCTGACTCCAGATTCAAAATGGGCGGCTGATGTGGTGGTAAATGAAGATTTACTATGCAGAACCCAATGTCACCTTCACCTATCATTATAAGACAACTAGAGGCCCGATGGGGGGCGGGAGGGGAGACGGTCCCTCAGCCGGGCCTGTGCTCTTTCGCAGTCCGGGAGCCCCAGGGAGATGCCCGACTGCCTCCGAGGCGTCTGCTGCGCTCCCCAGCCTTCAGTCTGGCTTGCGGCTGAGCAGCGCTCCCCCATGGGAGCGCACTGACCATGAGGGGGCAGCTTCTGCGTTGAGTGTCTGCTCCCCGATGGTCAGTGGGCATCACAGCAACCTGTAATTCCACGGTTTGGTCAATTTGCATATTACTCTTTTATTATATAGGATAAAGATCATCATTTCAACACAAAGGTTATTTATAAGATCTTTTGACACAATCCTAACACATAATGTGGTGTGACAAAGCCACAACAATCAAGGAGGCTTGTGAAGTATTTAATTGTCTTAGGATGAATAGGACAAGTCAATCAGTCAACAGGCAGTGCCCTTTTTATATAAAACAGGATGTGACTATATATAAAATGAAAAGAATGTTATCATATTGACAAATAAAAACATTTTAGCATGCAGGTCGTTAGCTGGAAGAGTATTACCTTCTCTATCTATATTTCGATTTCTTTCCCAGCAAAAAATACAACAGCCCAGCTGGCGTGGCTTGGAGGTTAGGCGTCGACTTATGAACCAAGAGGTCATGGTTCGATTCCCAGTCAGGGAACATGCCTGGGTTGTGGGCTCGATCCCCAGTGGGGGTGTGCTGGAGGCAGCCAATCAATGATTCTCTCTCATCACTGATGTTTCTATCTCTCTCTCCCTCTCCCTTCTTCTCTGAAAGCAATAAAAATATATTTTTTAAAAAATAAACAAATAAATGAAACAAAACCATTTTTGAAGTATAATTCTCTCGCTTAAACAAATATTGAGACTCTCATATCAACATGAATGGATTAACTAACAAATTGTGGAGATCCCAAAAGCTAAAAATTGGAGGTTCTAATGAAGTGTATATGCTTAATGCAAATACACTTTCAAGGCAGGCCTTGTGAATCATGTGAGAGATATTCTTTCACTCACCTTAAAGAGAATAGAAAGGCACATCAAGGCTAGTTATGCACACAGTGGGTATTCTGTAATCATCTGTTCACTTTATACTTAAATTTAGCCCATAGAGGTGAATATATGTAATTAATGAACCTCCTGAGAAAATTTTAGGCAAGAAAAAACAATTCCTTCTTAAATGGTAGCTGATACAAACAGCTACAGAAATGAATATTACCCACATATTAAAAACTTAATTCACCAAACCAAATTTACTCTCTCAGACATAAGTCCATTTTCTGTGCAAGAAAATGAGGTTCTCACTCAATATCTTATCATTATGAATTGTTTGAGAAACAAGAGGTTTGCATTACCCATTTTAAACAAATGTTCAAATTAACAAGTTTTCCATAACTATATGGCAAACTGTTCTATTATCCAAAGAGATACAACAAAATGGATCATTAAGAAAATATCTGCAGATTACATAGTTCCTATAAATTGCTCCTCAGAACCTATTTCTGGTTTTAATTCAATCTTCTAATTTTATTAATATATATTTGCTATCTTAAAAATGCTGACTCACACATAAAAATATTCCAATAACAACATCATCAAGTTAGCAAAGAGGGAAAATGCTTGGGGAGGAGATTAAATCTAATGTGGCTGGTAGAAATCCCATCTTTGTCAATTATTAGTTGTAAGACTTCCCAAGTTTTTAACATCCTACTTAAATGGCAAGATTTGGCAACTGATTGAATATGACAAACAGGAGAGGCATTAGAGATGACCTGGAGGTACCTCGGCTGGGTAAGTGGAGGGACATAAGAGGAAGAGAAGTTTAGAGCAACCTAGAGATGACCATTCCATTTAGGGCAGGACAGATGGAGAGACAGAGACACCCATAAGTGGGTGGACAACAGACTACCAGGAATGTGGGTCCAGACACAAAGAAAGATTTGTATGGCATCCTCCCAGAGATTACTGGAAATCATAGGCATGCCTAATATCAGCATCAATTTTCAAAATATTTTATAAAATGTCACTTTATTTCAAAATACATCCAAATATGACATAGAAAAGTAAGCATGCATACACATTTCAATCATTTACAAACTTTTTGAATTAAAATATGAACTCTTCTAACATATGATCAATAAGATACTGATTATCATGTCTCTAATTTTTCTATGACATCTGTAAAACCCTGAAATTATATGCTGCTGATGATGATAGTAATAAAATCTTACAGAGCACTTATTGCATATTAGGCATATTATCCTTCCATGTAATTTTTTCCCCATTAAAATGTCATAATTATAAAGTGGAGGTCTCATTTTCAGGACAATCAGAAAGATATATGTGTGATCCAGTTTTAACTTTCACCTCAAATCTATTGGCTAAAACTCTCACTGTGCTCTTGGTTCTTATCAGTCTTGTAGGGACAAACATGTAAACACAGTGGAGTTTTGCCAGAGTCTCCTGATTTTGCTTTCTCCGGGTAATCTCAGTGACATGTATCGTTCCTTTTATACTTACTATCACCTCGGTTCACCCAGGTAGACTTGGTACCATCTCCTCTTCTATAAATTTCCCCTCTGAACAAAACTGTCTATTTACAACAAAACCCAGAGACCTTCCTTCTACAACAACTGCTCACTGAGTAAGAGCATTACTCATTCATTCACCAAATGAGGGGCCTGGATTCATTCTCTCAATTCCCTTTCAGCTCTGACGGTGCCACTGGGAGGTGACACACAGCCACATCATTCCCAAACCTTTTCTCCAGTTTGATTTTCCTAAAAAATATTCCTCAAAAACCAAACATGGCTTTTTCAAAAGTTGATTTTCATTTTTCTTTTCATTTTTCAAACTGGCTTCACTGTCTGTCTCTCCCGCTCCCTCGCCCTGGCCCCACATGGAAAGGCCACCTGGCTGATTCCTCCAGCGCAGTTTCTGTCTTTCACACACAGTGTGCAATCCCAGCCACAGAGCCGTGGCTAACTAAATGCTTATCTGAATCCATGACTAGGAAGCCCATTACGTCAGTAAGGCCCAACCCCACGGAAGTCTGACCTGACCAAGCAGTGCCCCAGCTGTGCTGGGGGAATCAGCTGCTCCCAGCATTCCCTTAAGAAGGGCCTTGGGCCTGGAATACCAGTGTGTCAGCACATATAAGGAAATAATGGGGAACATGAATACCAAAGGCCAACATGAACTTTTACATTTCTTCGCTCTCCTTACCCAATCCCGAAAGCACAGGAGCATAAAACAAAATGATCCTTTCAGGTGAAAAGGCTCGAACGCTAACCTTTACTGCGGCTACTGCCGGAGTTCACTGAGGAGCATTCATTCGGGTTAGGGCTCATTTTACTGGGGGGCAGGGGGTTCACCTTAAAAAGCAATTTTGATAGCTTTGAAAATGAAATCAATTTTCATTTCTTAAAATATTGGTCGTTCTCACCTAAAACCAATACCAAATAATATTAAATATAAACTATAACTAAAAAGTAAAATTAAAAACATGTATCAGTTGCTCTCAATCTCTACATTTAGCATCTGCATATTACAAATTAATTTCTCACTAGAGCATAAGTTCTAAGGAGAAAGAAGGCTCGCTTATCTTCCTTCCACAGCTGTGCCGTGGTGCCTGATGCACAGCCCACAATGACTGGCAACACAGAAAGGATCTGTGAGAAGCAGCTGAAGGAGCTTGGAAAGAGAGAGGAAAGAACACCCAGCCGAAGGACCTCGCTGCTCACTTCTAAAGAGCGCAGGACCCTGGGAAACTGAGATGGGAAGGCTGCCTCTGCCTCACACTCTCAAAGGTGACTGCGAGGCCTGGGCAAGGCCTGTTTTCGTGGGAAACACCTCTCCCCGGGGCCGCAGGCAGGGAATGAGCCTGCACACCCTCCAGGTCCAGGCCCGGCTGCCCGAAGCAGGAGCCACCGGCCCCCAGCCAGCGGAGCACAAGCCATGTGGCTGGTGGGAAAGGCGATGTGCTGGGGTGTCAAATACAAACAGCTTTTGTGAAGATAGGGACCAAGAGAGAAAGTAGAACAGCCCATTGATAAATTATTTTATATCAATTACATGTTAAAATCCTACTTTGAATATATTGGTATAAACAAAATATATTGTTAAAATTAATTTCACCCATTTATTTCTAGTTTTCCTAAGGTGACTTAAAAAACATGAAAATGTTTATGTGGTTCATACTATATCTCTACTCCAGCTCTAATCCAGGCTGACAAAGAGAAGCCACCAGAGAGAAAGTCCACTGACATAGACAGCGGGACCTGACTCCTCATTTCTTAATCTTAACTGGAGAAACTGGTTAGACTGTCTGCCCTGTACAATCTCCCTTAAAGAAACACAACAGGGCCTGGCTGGTGTGGCCAGCTGGTTGGGCATGCCCTGTGCATAGGGCTCTCTTGCCTTTGCAACTCAAAGTCCCCACTAGATCTGTCACTGAGTATAACCCACAGCACAGCGAGGTAACTGGTGGGAAACCGCTGCCTGTGCGTTCACTACTCGGGGCAACGCATTCCACTGGGAGGGTGAGCTTACTCAGTTTCTTAGCGGCCTCCAGAGCTTCTTTCGCAGTGTCCACTACAAAGAACCTCTGAACTTTCACTCCGTTGTCGGCCATCAGCTTCTTGCTCTGGTACTCCTGCAGGTTCAGCCATCGTCTGGGGGTGAAGTGGGCTGCCTAGAGAAATTGGGGGAGAGGTGAACACATAATAACAAGCAAAGTGACAGTCAACTTATATGGCCAGTCCTACAGGTACCCTCAAATGGCAGCAACACAGACTATAAACAAACAAACAAAAATCTATCTAAATTCTTCATGCTTAACTGTTTTTCTAATCAAAATGTTAAAGATAACTACACACACAAATACATCAAAATTTTAAGAAACCATGGAAAGTAAGTAAGATCTATGTCCAGTAAACAGTAATGTACCAATGTCGATTTCCTGGTTTTGATGCTGTACTAGAACTATGTAAGATGTCAATGTTAGGAGAAGCTGGGTGAAGGGTACTCGGGACGCCTGCACTATTTTTGCAGCTCCCTGTAAGTCTACAAGTATTTTAAAATGAAAAGTTATTCTTAAAATGATAAGGACTCTATTATATAGTGTATGCCTCCCCCATCCCCACCACAAATAAATGAAGTTCACAGCAATACCTGTATGGACATTGTTAATTGTTTTTTTAACACTTTCAGGTCAATAGGCCACTGACTAATCCATTTCCTTACTGAAGTTTTTAATGGAATTTGGTATAATCATTACATGTTTAATGAGATTATCTCACACACCAGAGTTCAGTAACCTGAAAGAGTCACCATTAATTAAACTAGTTCTGAAAACTGCAACTGGTGTAGGAAAGGCAACCTTACTATCGATCAATTAGTTTCTATATGTCTTGAAAGAAAATAATCAAAGGGCAGAATGACATGAACAAATAGATTCTTCATATTTTATCCAACAAGATCAACAGCATTCCCTATCAAATCCATGAGCCCAAATTTTAAAAGAAGAGAAGCAGGAAAAAATAAGTTCACTTAATTTAAGTTCATTTCCACCCACGAGTTATAGGATGACAATGCCATTAATGCACAAAGAATCAAAATATCCATCACACAACTGGGCCACGGGCTGGTGGTGGAGGGCCTCCTGACACACCTCCCTCTGGTTTCCTCCAGGGCCTCGGTGGGTAGCCCAGGAGTATTACAGACTGTCAAATGGGGTCCGCAGGGCGTTGCCACGTGTTACCGGGAGCTTTCAGCACCTCAACGTGTCCTTAACATGGTGCCTGGTTCTGGAACCTCAAAGCTACAATGCACTCATGCAGCTCGTTTGGACAAGGCCATTCCACGGAGGCTCCAGCACCTCGCAGCGAGACGGGGTTCTACCCACAGGCAGAGCGAGTGTCTTCATCTTCTTTGTATCTTAATGAAGACCGTGATGGTGCTTGGCATATGGAAGATACCAGTTAGATGTCCAAATGAATAAGCCCTGCCTTTTGTCCCTTTATTCAGTTCATTTTTCATTCCCAGAAAATGACCTCTAAAAATGGGAAAGTCCTTTAGACCTGAAATGAACATAATGTAATTTAAACACACTTCTTAAAAATTCAATTTTGACATGATTAAAGCTAAAGATATCCCTCTGTTCTATCCTTATTAATATTGGAAATGGTGTTTTCAATTTTGAAGTTTGCCTACACTTCTTTAGAAATAAATCTACTGGGATAAAAATAAATTGCCAGGTAAGCAATGTTCCCATCATTTCCTGGATATTATAGAACTGTATAAGATTTTTTAATCTTCTGAACTTCAAGTCTTGATAAAACATTAAAAAATTTTAAAAATAAAATTTCAAAAATGAACATATTCATTGTATCAAGAGACTTAACACATTGCATACCGCATAGAAATCTCTAAGACATACGCCAGGGACCGCACGTTTTGGGGCAAACTGCACGTTATTTAAATCATCATAACTACAGATCATAATGCACTTTAGGTGTTGTTTTTCAATAATTATAACATTTTTATTTACAAAAACAATTAAACAATTAAAGTTCCTAGTACTTTTTTAACGTATGGTACTGCGTAAAACATTTTCCTCTATGAAGAGGGACCAAACAAAATTTACATAAGTATCTAGATTCGCT